GATTGCCTGAGCCCGCGGGTTCGAGACTTGCCGGGACAACTTGGGGAAACCTCGTTTCTACAATAGTTTCGTCTCTACAATAAAATTAAAAACAGCCGGGCGTGGTAGCACGCGCCCGTGGTTCTAGTTACTCAGAAGGCTGAGGCAGAAGGATCGCTGGAGCCCAGCATCGACGCTGGGTTGGCCGTGAGGGTGTGCCACTGCATTCCAGCTTGGGTGAAGGAGTAAGACTCCAACTTAAAAAAAAAAAAAAAGGAGAGAGAGAGAGAGAGAGAGAGAGAGAGAGAGAGAGAGAGAGGGAAGTGTCCTTCAGAAGTGGGTCCTTCAGAGTCTGAAACCACCTCTGCTTTGCCCTTCAGACGTCTTTAGTCGTCCTTGGAGCAGAAGGCTAGCCCCGCCCCTTTCCAGAAGCTCCGCCCACAGAACGCCTTGTCCTGTCTCTCCCCCTGCCCTCTGGATTCCCAGAGCTGTTCCTCCATCCCTCCTTTCCTTTCAGCATCACCAGGTCCTGGCTTCTGATACTCCCCTGGGAATAGGAACAGGGTGAGGGTTGTTGTAGTCTGATCCTCTTCTCCACTTCTCTGCTGTTGAGAAAACTGAGGCTTGAGTATACTTCCTCTTTGAGGCTCTGGGGAAGCTGAATTCCTTTCTGCTGGAGAGGCCCAGGAGGTTGGAGGCCCTCCAGGGGTTATCTCTGTGCTGCGTTTAAGTGTTGGGATCCCGCGTGAGGCCTCCAGCTTCCCTTCTTTTTTATTTTGTCTCATCTTCTTCTAGGCCCTTTCTACCCCAACTAGACATCCCAGCCCCCAGTCTAAGTGCTGCCTATCAGGCAGACTTGGGCTGCAATACCAGCTTTTGCCATTGACCAGCTAAGTGGACTTGGAAGGTGACTGTATCTCTCTGTGTCTCAACTTCCTTCTATGTAGAATGGTACTAATGATACCTCATAGGACTCAGCTTGGAGACTGATTACATGGCCAGCACCCAAAAGTAGTGGCTTTCCCAGTTCCCTGTGGGCCACTTCTTCAGACCTTCCCTCGCTGTACTGTTCTTCATTTTTACTTAGGAAGCAGGTCACCTCAGAGAGGTGGTATGTGTAGTAGTTCAGAGTACATATTCTGGAGCCAAACTGCCCAGATAGTAACCCTCGCTCTACGATTTTCCTAGCTGTCCAGCCTGGACAAGTTTTTAACCTCTATACCTCATCTGCAGCATAAGAATGGAAAGAGAACTTAAAGCAGTGCCCAGCACTTAGTAAGCACTAATGATGAACTAGCTGGTATGACAGAGCCATGTCTTTCCATGTGGACAAAGTCTCAGGTGTCATCTAGAAAGTTCTCTGACCTGCGAAGCGCCTGCTTATTCCTACAGAGGGGTTCTTGGAGGAAATTCCCCAATTAGTAGTCCTGCTCCTTCATGAGACTGTTATTTCCAAGGTTTTCTGGCTGATTCTGAGTTTCCCAGAGCATGGAAGAAGTGGGTGACATGAGGTGGGGGCTTGCCGAGAAGTTGAACATGAGACGATCAAAACATGATCAAAACCGTATGGAGCTGGCTCTGACCAAACACTCAGCCACGCAGCAGACAGCCCCAACAGTCTTGAGAACTGGATGTGCTCCAGGTTGAGGGGAGCATAGTGGGAAAGGGCCATTTCAATTCCATTTTTTGTTAATCATGTGCATTGGGGCTTATTCTGTGCCAGCCTCTGTGCAGAACAGTGTTGGCAGTGGAGATGAGCCAATCTCTTCCCCTTGAGAGCTCTCTCAGTGTACAGGACAGGTAGCTTTTTATCCAAAAAAGATTAGGAGCTCCTTGAGCAGGCATGTCAGTACTTCTAGGGAGATATTGGTCTTCAGGGTAGGAGGTATTACTTGGCTGCCTGCCTTGAACCCACAGCATATACCATGTACCCTAGAGAGGAAGGTGTCTGTCTTGAGGCGGGGAATAGGCATTCATATCCTGGTTGGGGATCTAGAAGTCTATGCCACCCCTCACAGAGCTGGCAACCTTGTCTTTGCCAGAGGTAAGCTCCTGGCCCACCAGAACTAGGAATAAATGAAGACACAATACATGTCAGCGAATCATCACAGGGAAACAGAAAGCAGATGTTGATTAGCTGACTTCATAGTGCTGAGAGTGTTTGAGTGGGACAAGACAAGTTACCAGAATCTTGGTGGAACCTCTAAAAATGTTAGGTTAAAAATCTCCCAGTAGGATCTCCAAAATGTTAGGTCATTGCACAGAAGTTAGATTGGAATTGCACAGAAGTTAGATTGGAAAATATGGATTATTTGGAAAGTAAATTAGAGAGCAAGAAGAGAGAGTAGATTCACCTCCCCAAAGCTTAGGAAACATGGCAGCTGGCTATAGCTCAAAGAACATATGGCTTGGGCAGTGCTTAACAAAACAATGCCGACTGCTGTTTGATGTTGAATGCCTTTTAAACCTTCCCTTTGATGGGAGTAGGTCATTAAGGTGATTGGGTGGTGGTCTTTTCCAAATCTTCATGAAAGGGGACAGGTAAGCACAGGTACTGAAGCAGGCAGATGGGTGGGCTAGTCGGATGACTGTTGCCATGTTGGTGGGGTCTGTGTCTTGAAAGTCAGAAGCACAGATTAGGTTAACTTGTTTACAAACAAGTTGAGGAGGGGGTTGTAAAACAATTATCAGTAGCTACCTCTGACTTTGGCTAGTGACTAGAGGGTAAATTAAAGTGAACTGCTAGAAAAACATGAAAAACTAAGCAGTGTTAAAATGGCTGCTCATTGGGTATATTGACTCCATCTGATATCTTTTCCTGTACCTTCTAGTGGTAGTGTCAGGGAGATAGTGGTCAGGGGCCTCTGTCCTGGTAGCATCTTCTTCAGGGATCCCACCCTCATCTCCCATATTCTGTTCCCCTGAGAGTCCAGAGGGAGAGCTTACATCTGCTTCTGTGACAGGCTCACTTCCACTTGATTTTACTGGGATCTGAGAGGGATTTGAGGCAATATGCTTCCCTCACATGTGTGTTTGTCCCCTGCCTGCTGGGATGCAGGGCACAGGGTCACAGCTGAGTGATCTGGAACTCTATGGGTGGCTGACTTGATGGATGAATGAGAAGTGAGTGGGAGGATAAATGGACGGATGGTGGAGGTCTAATTAATGCAGAAACAGCTGAATAGATGGATGCATGGATGCATGAATGGATGGGTAATTCCCTCAGGCAGCAGAGTCATACTTCCCAGCCATTACAACTGTTCTTGAAAACTATCCCCATCTCTCCCACTCCATGTTACTGTGACATCTGGGATACCTGAGGTTTTGAACACCTGCTTGTGGGAGCAGAGAAAAGGAAGAGGATGCCATGCTCTCAGCCCAGTGAGGAGGGGTTGGCACAACCCCCATATCTTGTTCCCTTTCCAAGGTCTGCCCAGGCCTGTCTAGGCCTAGTTTAGTTGTTGGCTAAGGTATATCTGTTATGATGACAACCTTTCTTCCCAAGCAAGAACCTGGCCTCCTTGCTGCCATCTGACACCAGTGGCATAGACTGTCACTCCCAGCTGGACAGGCCCTGAGAGACCACAGTCTGCAGACCAGCCAGCTTCCTCAGAGGACTTCCCAAACACAAGCCACTTACTTCTCACAGAGCAGCTCTATAGGATGCTCCAAGAGTCACAGGGATTTTGTCCCCCAGAACTGAGGTCCTATCCTGTACCAGCTGGGGAAACTTCCCTGGTCTCAGTGTCGCCTTTGAGCCCTGGAACGCATGTGGACAGCAGGGATAGTGGTTGGGTTCCTCCATGCTGGATCTCCCGAGTTTCTCTGACTGCTCCTTCTTTCACCCTGAGAGCCTCTCTTCTGTCTCTGACCTCTGGCTCCCAGGTCTGTCTGTCCATGTCTCAGAGGATTGAAAAAATGGGGCTGGACCTTGTTCAGACTGACTGAGCAAGAGAGGAGGGAGGGCTGGCCTGGAGGTCAGATTCAGTATGGACAGAATGGACAGATGGACCCTCACCCCTAGCTGTTGAGCCTTTCCTCATATATTTATTTATTCTCTAAACAAATTATTTATTTACCTTATGCCAGGCAGCCAGGGAAATAGTTAAAAACAAAACAGACATGATCCCTGTTCAGGAAAACTGACACTCCAGCAAGCATAAGTCAGTGTGATGAATGCTGTGAAGGGGGAGGGAGGGAAGCTACCTAACCCACCTTGGGATCAAGGAAGGCTTCCTGAGGAAGAGGCATCCAGACTCAGATGGGAAGCCAGGGTGGCAGAGGAGAGAGAAGACAGAGGGAATGGCATGGGTGCATGGTTACTCCCCTCCCCTAGGCAGTAGAGATGGGCCCTCTGCCCCTCCCCCAGTCACAGAGAGCTGGTTCCTGACAGTTCCCTTCCCTCCAGTGACACCTGATCCCTGAGGCGCCCAGATGTTTAAACACCTGCCTTAGAAAGCAAAGACCAGGAGGTGTGAGAGACTGTTTCTTTCTTTCTTTTTTCTTTTTTTTTGAGTTGGAGTCTCACTCTATCGCCCAGACTGGAGTGCAGTGGTTGTTCCCCCTGGCCACCGCATCCTCGATCTGCTGGGATCCGGCGATCCTTCCACCTCAGCCTTCCAAGTAGTTGGAACTACAGACGCGCACTACCACACCCAGCTAATTTTTTTATTTATTGTAGAGATGAGGTCTCACCAAGTTGCCCAGGTGGGTCTCGAACCCGCGGGCTCACCTCAGCCTCCCAAGGCACGGGATTACAGCCTGAGCCACCGAGCCCGGCTCTAGAGACTGTTTCACTCAGGGGACTGACTCAAGCTTACTGTTGCTGAGTGATGGAGTATGATACAGCTGTGAGACGTGAGGTGGGGCCTTAATTGTGGCGGCCAAGAACACCAGGGTGCTGGCAGGGATTGGGGAGGAGATTGTTCAGGCCGCAGGGTGGAAAGTAGATCCTGCCATTTCATCTCCCCCTTCCTATTCCTGTCCTACTGGATGGACAGAAAACAGACAGCAGACAGATCCGCGGGTGTGAGGTGGCTTTATTGGAAGCATTGCGGTGTGGGCGTGAGGAAGCTGGACTCTCACCAAACTCACCCTCTCATTCACATTCGCACTCATATTCACATTGATTCTCCAGGCCCTGCCCTGGCTGAGCAGAGGAGCAGTGGGAGGCCTGGTCCTCCATTCAGGTCCTTGGTTCCCCAGGCCAGAGTGGTTCTCATCCCCTTCACTCAGGCACAGGGCTCCTTCTGGTTCTGTCATGGGTTAACTGCTGTGGCGCTTGCTCTAGGGAAAGGAGAGGCAGAATCACAGGCTAGAACCTTAGCCAAGGTCTCAGAGGGAGGAGGCAGGGCTGAAGAAGGCCAGGCTTGCCTTGGCAGAGGCCTTCTGCAGTCTCCGGATGATGCGTTCCACCCAGGGCTGTTTTGGGGGTGCACAGAGCTGGCGGCCCTTCACTGTGGTGAACCTGGAGTCAGAGGTCAGAGGTCAGAAAGAATGGAGCTCTGGAATCCAGCGTGTCTGAGAACTTGCTTCAGGGGTTTCTTTGAAGAGGTTGGGCTTGGCAAGGAGAAGAGGGATAAGAAGGTGGGAATATCGCCAGGGCACGATGGGAGAGATGAGGTTAGACAACCTCCCCATAACTCACACAACAGCGGGCACCCTGCAGCCATCCTTGATGAGGAGGTAGCGAAAGTCTCTCACAAGGTGTCCAGGGAAGGGGTGCCGGGCCACAGACAGGCAGCAGTCTTCAGCATCATTGGCACCACCCAAAGCTGGGACTGGAATAGGGGAAGAAGATGACAGGACACAGGGACCTTGAGGAGGGGAGGCCATAGCCCTAACTGGGATTAAGGATACCTGTGTGTGTGGCTGGGCAGAGGCAGTTAGACCTGACATTCAGCCAGTATGCACCAATATGGCCCTATTGGTGTGTATGTGTATACAAACACACACACACACAATTTATATATAATATTGATATACTATAATAATATATTATATACTATATATACATATATATTTATATATATATATATATTTTTAGTTGGAGTCTCACTCCGTTATCCAGTCTGGAGTGCAGTGGCATGATCATGGTTCACCATATCCTCCACCTCCTGGGCTCAGGTGATCCTCCACGTAGCTGGGACTACAGACGTGTACCACCATGCTCAGCTAAGTTTTTGATTTTTTTGTAGTGATGAGGTCTTGCTCTGTTCCCTAGGCTGGTTTCGAACTCCTAGGCTCAAGTAATCCTCTTTTCTCAGCCTCCCAAAGTGCTAGGATTACAGACGTGAGCCATCATGCCTGGCTAAATATATTGTCATACTTCTAAACTGTTTGGTAAATAGCCACTGCCCTGAGCCCCACAGATGATTTCCTGCTGCACTGATCACCCATCCTTTCTCCCAGGGTGTCTGAACTTCCCCACGATCCAGCTAATAAAGAGTTAATGCTGGTCAGCTAATAGAGTTAATGCTGAGGGAAGGGTGGATTTGGGGTGCAGAGTGGTATTAGGGGCCTATGAATTGCTAAAAATTTTGACTAAGCCCTGCCTCAGACTCTTCCCACTCGCCCATCTTAAGCAAATATGTACTGTTCTCTCTTGTCTGGGAAACCGAGGCAGCAAAAAGTAAACCTGCGAGAGGGCCATAGCCATAGCTTAGTGTTGCTGAGTGAGACAGACCCACACTATTTTTTCAGGGGCACAGATACCCCCACACTCAGAGGCACACACATGGAAACTTCCAGACTCACCAAAACATGCAGACCTATGTGTTTACCTGAACTCACTGTGTCCCTCTAGCACCAACCAGTCTGAGATCTAGACATCACCCTCTGCCCAACCCCACCTCCCCTTCCCCCACCTCCCTTGCCCCCACCTCCCCTACCCCCAACTCCCTTACCCCCACCTCCCCTACCCCCACCCCTCCCCTCAGCCTTACCAGAGAAAGTCCAGAGAACCAGCAGGCTGAGGGCCAGTAGTGGGGTCACACGGGGTGCCATGGAGGGTAAACAGAGGCAGGCCACAGTGAGTGTGTGAGCACAAGCGGTCTCTGGGTGTATGCAGGAGTCTATGAGGCTCAACTGGGAGTGCAGGGGAGCAATGGGACACGCACAGGCGTCCTTGCGTGGTGTGAGGGGTGTGAGCCTAGGAGCGTGAGCGTGTGAGCCTGTGTAAGCCTGTGGCTGCCTCCTATTTATGGCCCAGAGCTTTCGCTTTCTGTGTCCAGAAATTCCCCTCATGTCCCACTCTGTGGATCCCCTTTACCCCCCTCTTTCTGTCAGAACCTGACCCTGCCCTTCCTCTTACCCCCCTCAGTGGCTTCCCTCTCTTCTGCTTTCCTTGGCTCCAGCTCTGGGAACCCAAGCAGTCTGCAGTCTGGCCAAGAAAAGGGGAGTGTGCACTGTACTCCAGAGAGAGGGTTTTCACTGTCATCTTGTTGGTGGCATTTGTATCGTCCACCACGGAGCTGGGCTTAGAAGAGATAGTCAGGGTTGGGGGCCCGAGTGAGGGATTGTGCCCCCTTCCCTAGGCTTATCCCTCATCCTCACTGGTGCTTCTCTTCTTTCTGGGGAGACTGATGGTGCCCTTAGGACTGCCATGAGAGTCTGGGGTGGCCCCGTAGGTCATCATGATGCCAGCCCAGTCACCATCTGAGAACCAGTACCTTCTTTGGGACAAGCAGAACTGAAAGGCAAGGTTCCTTGTGAGGAGGCCCAGGACCCTCATCCCACATCTTAGGCCTCTGGGACTAAACCCCCAGGCTCAGCAAGCACTGTCCTTTCTCTTTTTACCATCTTCCTATGCCCAACACCTGGGTCAGAGGAACAGCTGGAGCAAGCCTGGCCTGAAATAGCCCCCTTTATCTTCCCCCTTCTCTCAATCCTGGGAACCAAGAGGGGATTTCTAAGGAGAGGGGCTGGCCAGCTCATATTTAGACACATTTCAAAATTTCAAGGAATCGACAGATGGGGGAGGGGACAAGTGATTTCCCATCCTTATGAGAAAGACTAGAGGAGATGGCTTCAAAAGAGAAATTCATATAGGGGCACCCATTCAATCACCCCTACTCAAGCCCTGAACCCTCTTTTGGATGAGGGTAGGGGGAATGTTACCCTCTAAGTTTCTGACTTGTCCTCTCTCCATTCATTAATAACAGTAGTAGTAATAGTATTTCTGGTTGTTTACTATGTGCTAGGCTCTATATCAAGGACTTTACCGCTATTATCTTGCCTAACTTTCCCAGCAATACTATAGTTTTTATTCATTTCACATTATCACCCCTGTTTTACAGATAAGAAATAGAGGCTTAGAGCACAAGTTCACACAACTAGTAAGGACTGGAGCATGACTTGAACCCCAGTGTCTTTTGCTATAGGGCTTGTACATTTTACCTCCACCCCACACCACTGTCTGCCCACAGTCCATGAGTCAGAGTATACAGCACATAGCACACCATACAGAGGACTCAAAGTTAGTGTGCTTAGGTTGGGTTCCAATTCCATCACTTACTTGTGTGACTTAGGTGAAATTATCCAGTCTCTGTGTCTTCGTGTCCTTATTTGTAAAATGAGAATGGTAAAAGATTTGCTTCTTTTTTTCTGAGTTAGAGTCTCACTCTGTCGCCCAGGCTGGAGTGCAGTGGCACACTCACAGACACCACAGCTTCGACCTGCTGGGCTCAGGCAATCTTTCCGTCTCAGCCTTCCGAGTAGCTGGTAGTACAGGCACGCACCATCACCCACAGCTAATCTTTTATTTATTGTAGAGACAAGGTTTCGCCAAGTTGTCCAGGCTGGTCTTGAATCCTGGACTCAGGCAGTCCTCTCATCCCCACCTTTCAAAGTGCTAGGATTACAGGCACGAGCCACCATGCCTGGTCAAGATCTGCTTCATAGGATTAAATGAGAAGCTCTGAGTAAAGCTCCTAGTTAGGAGCTGGCATGTAATAAGTACTGACTATTAGCCATTGTTATCCTTCTGTCCTTTTATTCAGATGCTTATTCATTAATTCATCTGTCTATTCATCTTTCCATTGATCTATGCATCCTTCTGCCTATGGTGTTTCTGGTTATATTGCTTGCCCCAATCCCACCCACTCTCCACTCTTTTTGGCCCTGCTCTGGTCCCAGAAGGCTGACCTCTACAGATTGCATTAACCAGGACCCCTTGTTTCCTGGCTTCTGTTTGGGTTTGGTCCATGGGAGAGAGCAACAGGAGATCACTGGTGGAAGAAGAGTGTAAACCAAAAATAAAATTCCAAGTCCCCTTGATGACTGAATGGACCCCTCCAGGTCAAGGGAAACCTGAAACACTAAATTCCAGGGTATGATGAAAAAGGAGGGCAGATGCGCCACATTATATTCCCTCCCCTGTGGAGTTTAGGCACAATCAACTAGCGTAGACATAAAAATAGAGATCACGAGATTAACAAAACAGATTCTGTGGCAATAAGACACCAAATTCCAACCTGACTCTGGTATAGCATCCCATGACAGACAGCGGGTCCTAAAGGAAATAAAAATATCTTACCCCAAATATGTTTCTTTGACACATTTTGAAATGAGCAAGCAAAGCCATTTCTTGGAGAAATTTGCATCTGTGGAGAATCCCTTTTCCTAAAAGACTCTGATACCCTTTAAGACATTTACCACCTATTCTCTGAAGTCTGTTACTTAGAGATTTCATCTACATAACAAGAACCTTGCTTTCACAACCCTATTCCTTTTTTAAAAAAAAATAAAATATCTATTTATTTTAGAGTTGTGGGGTAAAAGCGGGATTTACTATATGAATAGGTTGAATACAGGTGAAGTTTGGGCTCCTAGCTGGTCCTCTCTTCCCCTGATAGTGAACCAGGTGCCCAATGTGTTGCCACGTGCCTCCCTCCCTCCCTCAGCTGTGTCCAGCATCTGCCAATCCCACCCTTGTGAGATCATACCTCCCATCTTAACTCAAGCATTTATTTCTACTGATTGCAAATTATTTAGACATAGCTTAACTCTTCCAATCAACTGAAAATCAGAAAGTCTTTGAATCCACCTTTGTATGACTTGTAAGTCCCCCCTTCCTTTCTGGGCCAAACCAATGTAAAACTCACATGTATTGACTTATGTCTTTGCCTGTCACTTCTGTCACCTTAAAATGTATAACACAAAGCTGCAACCCAACCATCTTGGGCACATATTCTCAGGACCGCTTAAGATTGTGCCTCAGGCCTTGGCTAAACATATTTGGCTCAGAATAAATCTCTATACATATTTTACAGAGTTTGGCTTTTTCATCAAGAGGAAATTGGAGTATTAATTCCCCAAATCCTTCATCCTGCCGTAGTTCTGGCAGTGAACAATTTCCTCTGTGATAGTTGTTCTTAAAGGGTAGTATTTGGACAGCAGCATCAGCATCACCTATATTGATGAAAAAGCTAAACTCTGAAGAATATTTAAAGAAGTTTATTCTGAGCCACATATGAGTGACCAAGGCCAAGGCACAGTCTCACAAGGTCCTGAGAACATGTGCCCAAGATTGTTGGGTTACAGCTTAGTTTTATACATTTTAGGGTGACAGAAGTTACAGGCAAAGGTGAGTCAATATGGAAAGGTGAGACATCTCAGAGGGGATAGGGCCTACAGGTCATAGGTAGATTAAAAAACTCTAATTTACAATTGGTTAAAAGAGTTAAACTGTGTCTAATTTGGAATCAGTGGGAAAAAAATGCTTGAGTTAAGATAAGGGGAGTTATGAAAACCAAGGCCCTTGTTATGTAGATGAAGCCTCTAAGTTTAACTTTTAAATAAGTTGCTTAATTATAATTTTGGACAATATATAATGCTTCAGAGAAGAGGTGATAAATGTCTTTTTTTTTTTTTTTTTTTTTT